CTTGTTTTTGGCTTTGTTTGTGTTTTGCCCTGTGGTTCTAGAGTTTTGCATCCTGGTGATTATAGATTAAAACTGTTGAATGATGTCTGGAAATACAAAGATTCGACATTTCTAGATGAGGCCTCAGGCAATTTCCAATACCCAGATGTACAAAACTCCTTTACATTTTTAAAGAAAAGCCTTTCCCAATAGAACATGATGATGCAATTTTAATAAGGTATTCAAGTCACTGCCATGCTAATGCCTATAATGTGGCTTTGCAAACACTCCTGATAAATCTCCCCAAACCCCACCATTATTAAGATGGTTTGGCACAGACATTGGATGCTCAACTACACCAGTTCAGTGTGATTGCCAGTCTCACATACGTCTGATACATCGTGGAGCATTAGCTGACCCCTACTTCTTCCAGAAAATTCCAACTGAAGAAACTGTACAGTATCCTTCCAAAGCAGGCTACCAGAGTCAAAAGACTTTGGATTTTTCATGGTACCCTGGATCCATGTGATCACCATGCCAGTGCATATTATAAGCAGGGGGTGTGAGTGGACCTAGCTGGTACTTTCCCACAGGCTTGGTCCCCACGGCCCAGCTTGCACCTCTGCTTACTTAGACTTTGCCTTTATTTTTGATGACAAAACATTCAGCTTCTCCCTACTACAAGAAATCTAAGCTATCTGCCTCTTTTGACCTTACATAATTTAAACCTATTTTCTTCCTTACTTTCTTTAAAAGAGGCTTAATGGAATTTTGAATTTTTCCTATTATAAAAGTTCTTCAGGTTTTTGTCTAAAGAGATTTGAAATGTCACACAAAATGATGTACTCACATCCCTCACCACCACCTTCGAATAACTGAATTACATAAATAAAACATTACACATAAAGTAGTTTGCTACAATTTATGAGAGGCAAATTTAACAAGAGCTGGCTCATTGTAAGAAAATTCAACTTATCTTTTCCTGATCCTTTTATTCTATACAGGGAGGGAAACTTATGTCAGTTAAAAAAATCTATAACTGCTTCTCATAACGGAATCCATTATTTTTCCCCACAATCCATCAGAGTAAAAACAAGAACAATAGATTGCTCTGACAGAACCTTGGATATAAACGTCCCCAAGAATCAAACACAGTAAGTTAAATGAGTTTCAGGTGTGTTGGAGCAGGAAAGAATAACCTTCTTTTTATATTTCAAACCAAGACCTTCCTAAAAATATATTATTATGAGCTACTACCAAAAGCAGTTTAATTTGTACTGTGAAATGGAAATAATTTCATTTATTTCTATATATATCCAAGTAGAATTGAACCTCAAGAAATGAGCTCAGGAAAAGGAACGTCTTTAAAATTTTTTATCAACTAGTTATAATCTATGATTAAATCTATGATTTATAATCTATTGGTTGCATTATAAACAATGTCTTTAGAAAAATAAATGAGCAAAGGTACCCACTCGCCTCCCTAGTAAGCAGCTATGGCAGGAGCAAGCAGCAGGCAACCCAGGGAGAGAACCAGTCAGCATCTCCCAAGATGCTCACCATGGTGGAATTTAGGGTGCTGGCAAGCAAAAGGAACCCGCTCGCCTCCCTGGTAAGTGGCCATGAGCCTACTGGTACACAGACTGAGAATCAAACATCCCATACTCACCCCCCATCACCCCCGTTAGCAAGTGGGAGCCACAGGTCTGAGCATCTCTTAGGAGGATGACCATACACAGTATAGCAAATATGGGAGATTTCCTTCTACCATCTCTTTGAAGGCAAATATTGTTACCACTGTTTTGCTTTGTTCTGATTAATTGTGTTGCTCTATTCAATACTCTATTTTGATAGGTTTTATGGTGTTCTGTATTAGTTTTGATTTTGCTATACCTGATTGAAAGGACAACTATTGTGAAGATAATGAGATATACTATGGTACCTATTACTGTTATCCTGGTAACCTGCTCTGAAGTTCTGTACCAATTTTACTGCACTGTCTTGATTAGCTTTTTTCTGTCTTGTTCTATTGTATTTTACTACCTTCAAAACAATAAAAATAAATAAATAAATGAAGATATCCTATACACAGTCAGCTTATTAAACATATTAATGTTAACTTTATCTCAAAAATATGTTCACTTTTGTAAGTGCTGCCATAATTTTTAATTCTATATAGCCCATTTATTCTAAAGTCTTCAGAAAAATGCAAGTGTTTATGTATCTACTTATGTACCTGCCTAAGATATACATGAAGAAATTGAGAGGAAGAGAAAGAGATGGAGGTAAAATTGTGTATTTAACATTAAAAGACTAATTCATCTCAGGTGATATTCTCAATGCACAGCTATCAGGATCTAATGTCTAACTGTATCCAGACAAGCCAATCTATCAACTTGTCTCCAGGGAGGGTAACTGTAATTATTAATCTTAATTGTCATCTTGACTGACTTGGGTGTTTTGCAGAGGACTCATAAAGCACACTTCTGGTGTGTCTGGGTGGGTCATAGAGGTATGGTCGTGGGGTCCATACCTGGTCCATGGCCCCTGCCTCTCTGGTGCTGCTCCTCTGCCCTGCTTCCTGACTGCTATGAATTAACAAGCTTTGTTTCATCTGCCCTTCTTGGCACCAGTCAACAAATGAACTGAATCCTCTGAACCTGTGGTTAAATTGACAAATATTCTTTCTCAGTAATGGGAAATCTGAATAGAGAAGGTCAGTACCAAAAGTGGCATCATTACTGTGAGATGCCATATCATGTAGCTCGGAAATTTTGGAACTGGTTTGCAGGAGGAGTTTGGAAAGGTTTGGAAATGTAGAATAGAGAAAGCCTGAAATATTATGAGCAGAGCCTGGTGGATTGTTCTGGTGAGAGCACAGAAGACCAGAACGCAAATAAACATTCAGACTCTGGCCTGGGTGTTGTTGACTGCTTTTAGACAGTTTATACTGAGAAACAGGAACAAAGAGCAGTGCAGAAGTAATTGAAAAAGTTAAATTTTGGCCTAAAAGGAACCACATGTAAAGTTGGGGCTGTGCTTGCAGAAGGTATAAATGGCATTAAAAAGAAACCAAGTACTCTGAACTGGAATGAGAAGAGAGATACAGTTAGAGCATATTAGTAATTAGCACAATCTACCTGTCACAGGACCAAAAGTGCAAAAGAATCAATCTTTCATTTGGGAAGAGTCCCTGGGACCCCATCTTAGGGAACTGGTTCGCTGGGACTCATGTCACTGTGCTCAGCCATCTAGGCGCGCAAAGGCTGTAACAACCATGCATCAAGGGAGCCTCACTATTGCTTGTGTTGGTGGCACACTTTTGTATTGTCCATGTGATTCTAGTTTTATAGGCATGCAGAAAGCAAATGTGATGGGATCGTGGAGGTTTCCACCCAGATTTTAAGGCCAGGCCTGTGAGGATGAGTCATGTACTCAAAAGGTAGATACTTTAAAATACGGAAATGAAGTCAAAGCTACAGTGGAAACCCTGGGAAGTTCAAAATGCCAGGAATACAAGATGTCTTCAAAGGAGAGCTGCAGGTGGTGAATCAGTGGAGCCCAAGAGAAAGGTTTTGTGAGCTGCAACCAACAAGGACACACAAGTGGCTTCATCCAAGCACTCTTGAACTCACGTCATACCACTACATGCCCCAGATGCCAGTCATGCAGCTACAGAACCCAGCATTGCCCTTGGCTTCATCCTGTTCTTTTCTATCTCCCTACGTCTCTCTTTTGGAACGATATTTTTCCTGAATGATTGCACATGGGGATTAAGTAACTTGCTCTTTAATTGTTATCAGTGTTCACAGTTAAGGGTTTCCTGAGTCTTGGGGAGGCTTTTGATTTGGATTTTCACACAGTGCTGGAACTTTTGAGACTTTGGGGAAGAAATGAGCATGTTTTCGGGTATACACAGGGTAGTTATATCATTCTAGGCAGAATTGTGACCTTGTTGTCTGCATTAGGAGATAATGGTTTAAAATGTATTTGGGTGCTGAGGGGACTATCAGTAGAACATGATAGCTAAATTTAGGTGTCAACTTTATTTGTTCGGGAGCTATTTGTGGAGTTAGAAAGGCACATTTTTCCATGTGTCTGAGTGAGTCATGGATGTGTGACCTTGGAGTCTGCACCTGCTCCCTGGTCTTTCATCTCAAATGGCATTTTGCTGCTGTGTTTCCAGGCCACCATGATCTATCAGCTTGGCTCTGCCCTGCTCTTCCACTGTGATGTTTCTGCCTTGGAACCAGCTAACTAATAGACTGAATCTTCTGAAAGCAGAGCCAAATTAAACTCTCTGCCTTTAAATTGTGAGTGCCAGGTATTTTACCAGCATAGGGAATCTGATCAATGCATTACCATTCCCAGTTTCAGTGGTAGAATCTCTTCTAAACCAGTTCACATAGAGCATTCACGTTATGGTGTTATTGATTCAGAACTGGCCATGTAATGCAGTGTTCCTGCACAGAAAAGTAAGAATAACTTTCATATAATGTTTCCCATTTCTCCTGAGAGGTGAGCAAAAAAGAACAAGGAGTCCCAGTTGCCACTGCGAGTCACTGTGACCATGACAATGTCCATGGCGTAGGGGATGGTTAGATAGGACTTGAGTCTTGGTTAACATCCTGAGGTATGAATACTATTGTACCTCAAGTCCTCCCTACCTTCTGTCTCATAATTAATACAGTTTATAAACTGCATTTCCAGTTGCTTGAGAGGCAGGAGCAGAAGAATCAAAAATTGGAGAGCAATTTGGGCCAACAAGAAAAATAACGAAGGAATGAAAGAAAATAGAAAGAAGAAAGAAAGAAGTTTACAGATGTGTTGTCTTTCCCACTTCAAATGAGATGGCCTGTTCAGATGTGCTCTTCTCTTAAAAAAAGATACCATATTTCCTTATGGCTTGTTTCACTCATGTTATTATGCATCAGAAGATCTTTGAACATATATGTGACTTTGAAGCCACTCTGGAGAAGCATTGCTAGTCATGTAACAAAGCATAGAATTTGGTATATCCATTGTTTAAGGTGACACTCTCTTTATTATCAAGGATAATATAGATTTAAAGAAGTGAAAACCTTCTTGTCCCACTAGTCTAAAAATACAATTTTAATACCAGTCACTACTGCTAGCCTCTGGATCGGAAACAGAGCTAGATAGGCTTTCTAGTTAATTTACAACTGACCTATATGCCAAAGTATGTTTTTTAATTACCCAGAAGGCCCTAATAAACTTACCATTCTTCTCTTACTTTCTTAAACTACTTTAATACTTATTCCTTAGGCTCTGGTTATTAGGTATTTCTTGCATATTTTTGTACATAATAATTCACCAGCTTTGCCACCTGATTCTTAACATTAACAGATTAAAACTAATGTAAATGAATCTCGGAAGACACATACTGATGTATAGAAAAATTCCATCATTTCCTCCTACAAAATGAAAAAGGTTTTAATTCTTTTTCTCAACAGCTGCTTCATGATTTTTATACATAGGGAAAATATGTGCAATTACTTCAAGTACAATCAAGTCATTGAACATAGCTTTGTCATCATGGTAGTTCCAGGATATTTTTAAAAAGAAAAAAATATCTCAAAGCACAGGTCCCGCTGTGCAGCAAAGCAATCAGTTCCCTTCATCATAACAGCCTGAAGGGACTCAGCAACCCAAGGAATAGTGAATAACCAGTCTAATCAGTAAACAAGAAAATGCTGGGCTTACTACTGAGTAAAGACTGACTATCAACTGTTTATTCTTTTGATTGGCATTCAAAACAATAAATAGAAATGTAAATATCTCTTAAAAAGAAATAATTTAGTGTGTTTGATTTTACTGTACAGGAGACAATGATGTATCATTGTGGGCTATTCTACAGTATTTTCTTATCAATAAAATCCCCATGTAGCATTATTTTAATAATTTAATAATAATAATAATAATAATTTTTTATTTTAATAATGCATGACCAAATTTATCCTATTACTTGAATATATCAAGATAAACTGATTTTTGCAGGTGGCATTGATTGTATTTCTGAACTGATTATTCACTTTTTCATTTCTTCATTAGTTCTCCTTTGGTATTCATCTTATGAAGTTATTTCCTTCTGAATATAAGTCTGCCTGAAAATAATCCTCAAATGTCAAATGCAGTCTCTCAAATGTCGGTCGTTCCTTAGGGTTCTCATGCCAGCATTCCATCATGATGTTGTAGAATTTCTGGGGACAGTTAGGTGGTTGTGGGAGCCGATAGTTTTGACGCAACATCAGGACAACTTCATTATGTGTCTTGCCTAGAAACATAGAACAAAACCAACAAAGTGCAAAAGCAAGATCAGAATCATTGATTCATGGATACCTGTGCCCCAGACTACAAAACAAATTGATTTCCTTGCTGAAGCTGTTGGATCTGTCATCTCCATCCCAGAGACTTAACACACTCCTGTAGCAAGACTGAAATCCAAGAGAAAAGGAGAAGGAAGCAATAAACCACCTCATTAATGCAAATTATCTTCATCAAATTTTATCTGTCAAGTTCCCACAGGTACCCAGCATGGTCAGCCTCATAAGTCTGTGCTCAAAGTCTGGGAAATGCAGTTAAAGTCACAACTAAGTAAGTGACCTGCAGCAGAACAACCCACTTTAGGACTAATTACTCACCACTGTAAGGCACTTTGCCGTAAGTAATGATTTCATAAAGAAGAATTCCAAAGGACCATACATCGGATTTAATGCTAAATGTATTATTCTGAAGGGCTTCAGGCGCAGTCCACTTTATGGGCAGCTTTTCTTGGTCTTTCATTTTATACATGTCTTCATTATCTACCTGCCAATGGATTAAGGATTCAAGCCAAGTTAAAGCGATTTTTTTTTTGCCATCCTCATTCATTTACAACCTGTTTCACATTAAAATTTAGAGGGGGAAGTATTAAAAATTAGCTTAAATCAATTGATAATAGGTACAGCAGCAGATTCTGAATCTGACATGTAAGACTGAAAAATCTGTGGGAAGTGATTAATAACATACGATCTGAGAGCCTACTGTATGTCGAGAATAGCACTAGAAGAAGTATAGCATAATATATAAAGAAATTCACACACAATTGAAGCTTTATGTCTGATCTTTAGAATTTTTTTAAAAATAGAAGCAAAGCTTGTTTGTTTCTTTGGCTTAACTCATGGTACTGAAGACTCACTGACTTTGTTAATTACCATGCAATCATTTACTAGAACTGAAAAGTAGAATCTCAATGATTTAAATTAATACATCACCTCATTGTCAATTCATTTACCAAAAAAATGAGTTCATAAGGATCAAAAGAAAATCACCTGTTATATTTCTTGTTCTCCGTTCTTAATTTTAGGGTACAGCATGGTAATTGAAAGGAAGTTCAGAGATGTATAACTCATATTATATCTTATTGTTAACATCTTTAACAGACCAAGAGAACTACAGAGCCAATAATTGCTATAGAATTCTGCAACCAGAAGCTTAGTCTAACATACTGTGAGTGAAGTCAGTAAGGTAACTTCAAAGGCATAAATAAGTCTTATACGAAGGCAGGTAGAGTATCCATACAGAGCTATTTTAAGGGAAACAGCAGCAAAACAAATAGAGGCTATCAGTACTAATTGAAAAACAGAACACAAATTCAACCACAAACTTAATTGCATACATTTCAGTCTAGCAGACAATTACTTTCTCTAGGATTTTTGATAAATAGGAAGAAGTAAGTAGCTGGTTTGTAAGGTCTTAAGCTACTTGAAATGGTCCATTAACCACAGGATGTGAAAAACATTTAAAAATATAATAGTGAATCTTTTGGTCTGTTTATCTGTTAGGTTTTTAACCTACTACAAAAATTAATTTAAACCAAATTAAAACTACCTTTAAAATTCTTGCAAGTCCAAAGTCTGCTATTTTGTAGATATTATGTTCACCAACGAGGACGTTTCTAGCAGCCAGATCTCTGTGGATGTAGTTGTTGAGCTCCAGGTAGGCCATCCCAGATGCCACCTGCGTCGCCATGTCTACTTGTTGAGCCAGATGGATTTTTGACCCAGCATCAACTAAGGAGTGAGCGAAAATAGGAAATATATTTTGGAAGATATTTAAAGCACTGAAGTTAATGCTGACAAATTTGACTAATCCACTATTGATGGAATTCTCTGCTAGAAGACTAATCATCAGAAAGAAGGAAAGGTATGATGTAACCCAAACAAGGTTACAGTGATCAGAGAGTAAAGTTACTGACACCCTTAAAAACTAAATTTCACACAGATACATTTCTTCATGGAATGTGTTACTTGAGTGCTTCAGGATCTCTTTTAATCATCAAACTAAAAGCACACTCTAATTTGCATGGCTGAACTAAGGAAAAGTCTCTTCATTAGATTTTTTTAAACCACCTTACTAATAAAAATTAAAATCATATAGTTATGAAATATGTGTATTGCATTTGCAACACCAAGATTAATACACATTCTTAAACACTGTTTCTAAGTCTATTTTTCTTCAGCAGTTTGCACATATCTACAGGTGTAGAAATACCTTTCTTTAATTGGCAGGAACTCACTTCTTGTCCCACAGAACTAAGAAAAAAATCAATGTTGTACAATCACTTTGAATCATTAGTAAAAATGGAAAAAGCTACTTTGTGGACTTTTTAATATAATGGACTTTTTAATAAAAGGTACATATGTTATCCTAGGTGGTTTCTTTAGATTTCTGGTAAATTAAAAAAGCATCACATAAACCCACACCATTACCAACCCTGTCAGAGTAACCCAAATATTCTACACACTCTATCAGGCTTACGGTCATTAAGCACAGACACAGCCATAACTTCAAGGGCAGCTACAGTACAGAGATAAGAAGACTACATTGAAAATGGTTTAGACTTGAGATCTAAATTTTTCCTCACATTTCCATATGACCTTGCTCAAACTGATTACCATAACTGTACCTCAGTTTCCTTACCTTTACAGTGGCAATAACTACCTTAAAATACTACTTGTTAAGATGAAGATCAAAACATGTTAATATTTGTTGAGCACTTAATACAGTACCTACTACCCAGAAGAACTCAATATAGCCTCTCTATTAAAATTATCATTGCTTCTACAGTAGTTAATCTTGATTGTCAACTCCAGGACATTAGTAGAGCACATTTTTGGATGTGTCTGGTTAAGTCGTAGGGGTGTGACATTGGGGACTCTATCTGGTCTTCTTGGTTACCTTTCTGCTCCCTACCGTGGACACCTTGAGCTTAGCATCTTTTCTCCACAATTCCCTTCTAATGTGAAATTTCTGTCTCAGAGCCAGCCAACTGTGGACCAGGACCTTGGAAATTGTGAGTCAAAATAAATCTCTCCTTTTCTGTTTGTAGGTATAAGGCATTTTACCCAGCAATGTGAAAACTGGCCAGTAACACTCACTCGTAAGCAAAATGAAACAGTTTGGAACTTGTGAAACTACAGGTATTTATGAGCTACCCAATAGTAAAGAGTGGCTGAAAGAAGAGCCTATGGATAGCTAGAGATATAGTTTTACTCATCTTAATTTATGAGTAGGAGTTAAAACATGAAAAGCAGGTGACATTTCTAGAAAATAGCAGATCCATGAGAAACATCAACATTTGAGGTGAGCAGAAGAAGATTGGACTGCAAGAATACTAAGATTCAGCCATAATAAGAGAAGAATGATGCCAAATGTCAAGTTTTGAGGAAGAAAAAAATACCATTGTAGTCAAATTCCACAAATAAAATAAAGACTAACAGGCATTTGCTAAATATAACAATGAGATAGTCATTGGTGACCACAGAGGCAAAACTAGCAGTCTTACTACAGAAAGGACTGAGAGCTGAACAGGAGATAGTATAGAGACAGAAAGCCAATGGCAAATTCCAAAACCCTTGTCAAAAAAGGAAAACAATAGAGATCTGGAGTAGCTACATTTAAAATCAAAGCAGTCATCATAAAAGGCAGGATGTCAATAATTATGACTGGCAAAGTATTCAAGGGTTTCTAGGATTCTGGCCATGATCTATTTCTTGATTTGGGCATTGTGTACACACTTACTTATTCATTTTATAATTACATGTTAATGTATACTCTATAGGTCAGGCAAGGTGGTGCTCACCTGTGATCCCAGCACTCAGTAGGCTGAGGCAGGTGAATTGCCTTGAGCTCAAAGCCAGTTTAGGATACATAGTGAGTTCAAGACCTGGCTGAACTATATAATGAGACTTTGCCTCAAAAATAAATAAATAAATAAATAAATAAATAAGCAAAAAAATCTATATCATTTAAGCACTTTCTGCATATACACTAATATGTCTTTCTCAATAAAATGAAATAGTCAAGGGAATTTTTAAATGGGAGGAATTTAAGGAGAGAGTATATGTGTGCACATATTTATACAACATTTTAAGGGCAAATAGCATATTTAAATAGGATGAGGAGAAACTAAGATCTTACCAACTCTCTTGTCCTTTATTTTCCTTTGTATTCAGTACACCACAAAAAACTACATTCCCCATCTACCCTTCAAGTTAAATTGGTCTATGGACAGATAGTTTTCCATATGGTTTCAGATGAACCCTGACTACTGGTGTTCATGCCCTTCCCAAGGCCCCTTCCCCTGGCATGGTGCAGAACCACATTTAACAAATAGAATTTGATAAACATGATAAGTAATGACTTGCAAGATTAAGTTATAAAAGACTGTGACTTAATTTTATTGACATTATGCACTTTATTGCTTTTTCACTGGATTACTTTAATGAAGCAAGATTCCATGTCATAAACAGCTCTGTGTAGGAAAGACTATCAAATCAATAATCAGCAGGGATCTCACTTCATTAATTCAACAGCCCAGGAGGAAAAAAGTCCTAGTAGTAATCATAAGAAGCTGTTCTACATCTATTAGAACTGGATGGGGAAACGTTTAGAGGCCAGTTGCCAAGTTGCAACTCAAATCGCTTATTTATCACAGACTGCCTCACTTCAATTAAACCTGAGTACTGAGATATTGGTTTAGAAAAAAAAACCTCATATATTAACATCTTTTGTCTTAAAAGAAAGACACAATAACATAGGTGTGATAGGTTTGACACTATTGTAGAGGAATCTTCAGACGATGGGCCACTTAGCAACACCACAGCTATATCTGGACTCCTGAACAAGAAACTATGAGGCAATAAATATTTGCTTCTTTCACCTACTGTCTGAAGTAACACAACATAGAGCAACAGATAACTAACCCAGGATGACACTGATGAGACAGGAGATTAGGGTATGGCAAACTGGCTGGTCAAGTAAGCATGATTTGTGAGTCTTAGAGAACTAGGAGACTCGTACACAAGCCATGCCCCATGACCAATCAGAGAATGCTATCTTCAGTTCTTCCCCTGAGAACTCAAGCAGGTTTCTGATAGGAAGGCCTAGATCTCACATCAGTGTAAGGAATGGGAGACACACAAGACGGTCACTAGTGAGTTCTTGCCAGTGTGCACTTTAACAGTGGTCCACTCTCATCCTGCAGAGTGTACTTCTTCTCCAACTTTTAATCAGTCCACACTCACTCTGCCCAGCATGTTTCTTTCCCAACCTTTAATAAATGTAAAAACCTCACTACTTTTTGTGCTTGTTTTGTCCAATTACTTGTTCAGGATGAGAAGAGCCTAGAAAGAATCTCTGAAGGAGCCCTCAGAACTTAAGAACACATTAACAGACTTTGGTGAGCCAAGCAGGAAAACAATATTATGAAAATAACATAATATTGGTGCTATACATAACTGTTGAAAGTATGAACTGTGAAACTGGGTTTCTACCTTGGATATGTCACTAACCATTCTATACCTCAGGATCTTTGCTGTAAAATAGAGATGCCATAATAATACTTATCTCATAAGAAGGTTAGTAAATTGAGCTAAGTTAGTATTTGTACAGATCTTGGAAAAAGCTTCCATCATAAATTCAGTAGTATACTGTTTTTTAAAGGAACATAAACACATTTGTTCCTCTGTCACCACTACCCCTTTAGCTGACTTCCAGTAAGACTTTAGGAACAAAACCCCAATTTCACAGGAACTATCATAAAAATCAACAAGTGGGATTTCATTTCATTGAAAAGTTTTTTTCACAACAAATCACCAGCAGCGTGAAAATACAACCCACTGAGTGGAAAAATTTGCCAGTTAACAAATAACTGATGTCTAGAACATATAAAGACCTGAAAAAAAATCAGACCATCCAAATTCAAAGACCCAGTCGGAAAAGGAGTATCTGATATGAATAGACACTTCTTAGAAGTATGAACAGCAAATAAATACATTAAAATATTTTGACATCACTGGTCACTCAAGCACTGCAAAGTAAAACAACACTGTTGTGAGAAGCTGAGAATGTAAATAAGAATATTAACGTACAATAGATATTGTGAAATAGGAGGAAACTGTTCAAAAGGAAAGGAAATTAGAGAGGGAGAGGGGAAAGAAAGTAAGGTAAATAAAAAATGAGAAAAGAAGAATAAAATAAAAACTGAGTTTTGTGATGAGGGAGAGAAAGGGGATTTGAAAAGCAGATAATCAGGAAACAAAAAACAAAAACAGCATCAAAATATATCATGTACAGACACAAATTCCCTACAATGAATGCTGTATGATTCTGTATAACTAAATTGTACCAGTAAACTTCAATTAAAAAGAAAAGAATATAGATTACTGGGGAGAACACAAGCTCAGTTTTGCACATATTTTGAGGTATCTAACTAGGCATGTTGGCTAGAATTTACTTTTATGTTCAAATATTTGTTTCTCCTTTCAAGCACTTTAGAGGATTGTTTTTTCCTATCCCATTTGACTTGATTTGACCGAATGAAAGGGGCACAGAAATTTCTGTCATTTCTGGTCAGAAGCTTTAAAAGCCAAGGTGAGACTAGCCCCATTCCTTTACCTTCCAAAGTGACCAAAAAAGCCAAGTCACCAGCAAGTCTATTTTGCACACAAAGCATGAGGAAGAAGATTTGAGCAGTGGCTACAGTAGGTTTACATAAATCAGCATTTACATACAGAGATCCAGAAGGTAGGTGGGTATATTATTCTCAAATAAGGAAGTGAAAAAACTTGGAAATCATCAATACATAAACATTTGAACAGCAATATTGAATAAAATTGGCAATTTTACTGTTATAGAGTCCTGGAAAACTTCAAAATTTGAGAAGTCTGGGATCCAAGAAAAATTATGTAAATAGAAAAACTAACAAAGAAGTCACTGAGCCAAGTATCTTGGCAGCCAAGTAATTTAAATGTATTAAAGACCCTGACGCATCTGAATACTGGGAATTTTTATATATGACCCAAAGTCACTCTTTGATTTTTATCCTGGGACAAAGGCTAAAGGAGCTAATGATAATTTTCTGGTGGGTGATATATTCTGAAGCTGTTCACTTTAATATGCTTGTTCAGGGCGCTTAAGTGTATCTTTGTTTTCAACAGCATTCAGTATATCACTTTAGGTTCTCCATCCTTCTCATTTTGTTTTGTAATTTAGAATTACCAGACTCACAAGTCACTCTGAATCAGGGAATATTTTTATCTTTCTGAAATCTTTACACTGCTGATCTCACCTCCCTTTATTCTTATAGATTCTATCAGTCTCATTCTGACATTTTAAGAACTTACAAAAAAATTCCATTTTCCATCATGAATTACTCTCTCAGTCCTTGATCTCAGTTTCTTTGAATCATTCATTTTAATGTTTATTATTTCATTGTTTATTGAGTTTTATATTTGTAATGAACATCGGAATTTTGCAATTCTTGTAACCCAAAAATGAGCTCCCCCCCTACAACCTCGAGTCCAAAAATGGGGCAAGATGTGTTTTTTAAAAAGCAGCACTGATTTATTTTATCCTGAGCCCAGCGATACAGTGCAGTTGGAGTTTGCAAAAGCTGTGTGTATCCCTCAAAACTTTTCAGGCTTTTTTTGTAGAAAGCACGATTTACAAAGTAAGGGGTGATGGGCATGGATCAGGAAATGAGAAAATCCTTGATCTGCTAAGGAATGAGGAAGATCTTTGTTTCCCTTTGCAGAGGACAGAGAAGTCTCGCAGGAATTTACAATCCTTTGTCAACTTATTTTAGCACTCAATTTTAGATAACACCTGTCCTTTGCAAAGGGCAGCAATGGTTAACATAGCAATTAGGTCAGATTCCCAGGAATTTATAGTCCTTTGCAGAGGGGAACAATGATTACCATATCAATTAGGTCACCCAGGAAGATGGTGCACACAGAACAGTATAACAGTGCTACAGGTAATTTGGTCATATAACTTGGGCATGGCAAACATAACACAAACATAATGAAGCTTTTTGTTAGTGTATAACAGCAATCCCCTAATCCCCTTAAATCAATTTTTCTGTAGAAAGCAGATGAAGGAGTAGAACAATACTCTATTTCTGCCTTCCTTGTCTAAAAATTCTAATGTTCTAGAGTGGCGGTATTTTAAGCACTAACTGATAAGATTATATCCAAAAGATGAGAAGTATAAAACAAAAGAGGCCTTTATTCTGAGAACGCGGAGAGAGAAAACCAAAACACAACCGGACTGCTGGATTCTGGCTTTCTTTCTGGCAGACTCATGGCGTGGGGGGAGCTGTATATAAGTAGCTTAGGTTTGGGGTGGAACCTAAGGGGGCATTAGGGATGCACAGGTAGCCCATTGGTCTTTGTTTGGCGCCATAGGTAAATTCCTAGGGGCGGGGAACACAGAGTCACAGATAAATTCCTAGGGGTGGGGGAGATAGGAGCTCCTTGGTTTCACCTCTAAGGCTTCACTGGCTACAGTGTCCTGTCTGGGCCAAAACTCTTTCACTAACAAAGAGAGTTCTAGCAAATGCTGGAAAAAAAAAAAACTGGGCTACATTCACCAAAAGCATTCCATATCCTCAAATTCTGTACCTTAGAAAACTATTGGTCTATGGCTGACAATGGTCAATCAGTTTTGGCAGGAAATAAGAGTTCATGCAAAATAATCACCGATTTCCCACATTACATTTAAGTGCTCTGATATGTTTATTGTGAACAATTTGCTCTTCACTACATAAATGTCTCTGCTCCCTTTGAGTACACAGAATAACTATTATGTAGTAGTTGAGTTCTGACTGCTGTGACATTCATTTTTACAGATACACACTCAGTAAATATCCCTAGGATTGCAGAAGGCTTTCTAGACTGACATCTGCAGGAATACCTAGCCTAAATTCCCCCTTCTGTTTTTTTCCCCTTTTATTAATTCTTTAGCTTACTTTGGAGATACTCTCGCAGACTTCCATGTCTCAACAATTCTGTAATAATATAAATCGGCTCTTCTGAACTGCAAACAGCATAGAGCTGGATAAGCTTCGGATGTCTCAGAGTCTTCATTATCTCTGCCTCCCCCAGGAACTTCTTCGGATCCATTGAACCTGAAACAGGAAGAGGAGCACATCATTTTATGTTACTGAGGGGATGCTCTCCTCAGAGAAGCCTGGTAGGGATCACCCAGATTGCCTCCTACCTCTCAGGATTGTAAAATCATCAGTCACACAAATCTTTGAAGTTATCAAAGAAGAGAATCAGCTTAGCCAGGGCAACCTAATTACCAGATGTGCTATTGTACCAGGGCTGTGAATGTTTTGTGTTATAGTCTGTAGGTGAAAAGCAGTTGATTCAGGTCCATAAGAAAAATGAAGAGAAAAGAAACAACTGAGGGTCTCATTGATAAAACAAGGCAGGCAGCTTAAGAACACAAAGAAGACATTCTCTTAACGTGAACAGCACAGTACACTGGATGCTTAGTTACTCCACTCAATGCCACATGTTTGGATCCAGGGAAGAGGAATAGCTGCCCTGTCCATGGTGCTGACTTTGAGAACAGCAGGAAAACACCCATTGATCAATGACATTCTGTAACATGCAATATTCTGCAATCTGCTGCCCTTAACTCTATTAGAAAATAGAAAACAGGTCAAATAGAAACTTTTCAAGGGCCATTTCCAAAAGTAAGGGCTTTTTTTTACATCAGTTTTATGTGTTGAACATGAAACTGATATTCAACATCTTCTGTATTCTCAGCTTCGGCCGTCAGAGCCTTAGAATCTTAACCAACTGACTGGGGAGACTGCGAGAGCCTCTTCTGAGGACTGATTCACAATTAAATTCTGTTTAAGTGATTCAAGTCTGACTTGCCATACAAAGTCTCAGGTAGTTAACATCAAAAAACATCTGAAGAGGACATTTTCATTTCATCTGTAATTCTAAAAGCACTTATTTATTTTAGAATGTGATGCTTCAGAAGCATTACTATGACTGAAGAAATACTGTCATTGCACATTTGAGTGGTCGCTGAAGATACTGTATCATTTCCATGGATGATCGGAAACTATCTATCATCCTCTCCACATGGAAGTCTTCACAACTGATACCAAACTCAGGCGTGGATGCACTTTGACAGTCTCAGTCAGCTCTGTGATTTGTTTGTTAATGTGACGATAAGAAAATATGGTCTGTACATCACATCATGTAAATCACTAAATCATGTAAATCACTCTGGATTCTGGACAAATTTCAGCTCTGCTTCTAGCACTTGCATGATTTGAGCAGTTATCAGGCCTCTCTGAATTTCAGTTTCTTTGTTTGGAAAATGTGGTTAGCAGTGCCACTGACATCATAAAATCATTATCTGGCAATACCTGACACATATGTGTACAAAGGCTACTGACTATTATTTGCATTATTTCCAATATGCATACTTTTGGGAAACCAAACAGTCTGCTTGTATTTTTTTCATTGACTAAAGAGAAGGAGCAAGGTTTTAAAGAGCAGAGAAAATAACAGCCTCTTCTCTTTCTATCATATTTTCCTTTAATCCCAATTCTGCTATTGGTTTACTCCACATAGTCATAGAATTAAAATTTGTACTCATGGTAGAAAAACACAGCCGAGCATAAAGAGGCATCTAAAGCATAAGAAAGTATTTGCTCTTGGCTGTTTGATCTATGATCAAATATGGGTATAAAATGACCTCCCCCTTTCAAAAATGTGATTGATGAACTTCCAGTGACAGCAGCAATTATGATCACCATTCAGACAGTTTATGCAAGGTGCACAAACTGCTCCTGAGTCAGATTCCCAGGAGCTCTTAGTCCCATGGTTGAAGGTGTTCAGAGCAATCTTTCTGGCTCCACAACTTGTAGTTGACCAACTGCAGAGCAAGACAGACTCACTAGTAATCTAACATCAATTATTAATTTTTGCCTCTCACAGCTACCATGGGATTCAATTTCAGGCTCATCATTATTGCACGGTAGTCTGCAAAGCAAAATAGCTGCTAAGATTGATTAATGGCCCCAGTGAAGTGAAGACATTTAACCAATTGCAGTGATGTTTGCTGCTATTAAGCTGCAAGTCCATAATTGTTGGAAAGAAAACTATTGGGGTTTTCTTTAGTGTAAGAAACACGATTTCTGTTCTTTTTTTTAATCTCCAGGAAGACTTCTTTAGAAAAAAAAAAATATATATATATATAGAAAGAGAGTGTGTGTGTGTGTTTATGTGTGAAAATCTCAGGTATGCAAATTGTCCTCACCCGGAATGTTTATGTGGCATTTGGCTTCTTAAAAATGTCTGTACTGTTTAATCAGGCAGTCATAAACACTGGGACTGAACTCCCACACCAGTGAATTTGCATTTCTTTAGGTGCACCTGTTGGTAACTCCCCTGGAAGCTCAATTTACTGAGAACTCCTGCAGATATTCTATGCACATTAACTAAAACTGTCCTCATAAAATCCTATAAAGCAGGAAGGATTAAAATTTGCATTTCCAGACAAGAGGCTTCAGAAAGGTTAACAATTCATTCAAAGTCACAGAGGACAGGGCCACGTGTAAATTCAGGTTTGATTGACACCAAACATTTGTGTTCTTAATTGTGCTACCACAAGATCATGACTTTTCCCGCTCGTGGTTTCTCACAAGTTTTTTTCATATTTCATTACTTGGTTAGATCCAAACCAGGATTTATTACAGAAAACTTTCATTCTTAACCTCAATTATTTGCTAAAGTGATAAATGTACCTATTAGGTACTACATGACTTCTCAAATCTTGGAATTAGATTGGGGATGGCTGCTCTTGTTTCCACATCTATGTTGATTTTTTTGTGCATTTTGCATTTCATCACAGAAATCATCAAAAATCCAGCTTCACAAAAAAAGGATGTCAACAAAAGGAGTGTGATATGGTCTAAAGCCAAAACCTCAAGCTACTTAGAGGTAGCGATTTGTATTATATGCAAGATGTTTACCTCACAACTCTCAGATTCCCTGTGTGTTCACTGTGGTGCCCCAATGACCTTGGCACATGGTTTGGGAAGCACAATGTTCCACAGGCTGCCAGCCTGCTTAAATTCTGCCACCAGTGGAATTCTGAGTTTAGTAAATAGTGAAGATCCTTTAGAGCAGTCCAGTGGCCTATGTTTATTAGTCTAATACACGTCATTTGAAGCAGATATGAAGCTGCCACAGTAATGTTATACTTTTCCAGGATGTCACTTCCAAAGGGTATGACACAATAGTGTTAGATATGGGTTAAAATCCCAGCCCTGTCACTTACCAAAATTTTAATAATAACCACAGTAATCTTTTGTTTTGGTCATTTACTATGAACCAGACACTATGCAAAGCATTTCTACTAATGACCAGATTTATCTTCATAATAATTCTGCCAGCTTGCCCTTAGTAATGTTTCTGCTTTACAAATGATAAAACTGAAGCATAGGATAATTCAAAAATTTGCCCAAGATTATATGAGCAGTAAAACTTTGGAAAGTTATTTAATCTCTCTGAATCCTCTTATTCCACATTTACCACAGAGCAGATGATAACTGGAAGACTGAATGTTGGTTTTAGTATATTTTTCTTTGTTATCACAGAGACAATGGAGATTGAAAAAACATGTTTCTGGATTTTCAAATACGAGGTCTTTGAGATGGATCATTTTACCTTTTAACCATATGCAAATTGATTCTGCAGCATCGTGATGTGAAATCCAGCAATACTATTATTCTTTGTTGAGAGTGATTTCAGTCTGTTTTGTTTTGTTTAATTTCAACATACATGAAGGTATGGACAGCTATTTTGAAGAGAATGAGAGACACTATGGCAGCCATTGTTGACTTCCCTATTGTCTGGTCTTAAAGACCTAAAATGCCTTCATCATCCTGTTCTGATCAGTTTTATACTATTTGTTTTGTATGAATTCATTGTATGTGAAGATATGGACAACTATTTGGAAGAAAACAAGAGACAACATGATGGACAGTGAAGATCTCCTATTGTCTTGCTTTGAAATCTATATCTCTTACATTGTTATCTTAGGATTTGTTTTGTTCTGTCTAATTTTATCTTTTTTAAAAATAAAAAATAAAAAAGTAGTTATGCCCTGAGTAGCACCAACTTTCCATTTGAGGTTTTAAAGTGTTTTGTAAAATTTTTAATCAAGGCCAGGAGCAAAAGGAGTAAAGAGCCCTGGAATACAGAATCCTAACTTTACAGAAAAAATGTGTCATCAGACTCAGGAATGAGGAAGAGTTTAAGATTAGCGGAACCAGAGCACGTACTCTGGCCTGTGTGGTTTAGAGCTCCTGCACAGGTTATGGTCACCTGGGGTGGACCAATGCTGGCAACACCTGCTTGCTGCCAGCCATGGCTGCCCAACCATCTCTTGGGCATCCACAGAGGAAAACTGCTCATCCTATCAGCATGTTCTGTTAACCTTTGCCGTTCTCACACCTGGTTTTAGTGTTTTCACAGCCACTGACACGGTGTTGTTCCACAGGCCTTCCCAGACCTCGCCGAACTGACCAGTTCCAAGCCGCTTCAGAAGCTGCACAGAGCTGCGGTCTATCTCCCAGTGGTCCACAGTATTATAGGACAAGTCAAAAGTAGTCGGAACTTGTATCTGGTTGACAGAATAACGAGAATAGTGAAAAAGGAAAAAGGTAGATTTAACATTTCTGTTGAAATGAACAGTCTAGGTACTATCTGGGGGAAACATTGCTTTTAAAAGCAAAATACTGTGAATTATATTCTAATTACTTTAAAAACAGAAAACTACTGTGGGAGACAATCATGTGCCTTGATGTCCACCTGTCCCATACTACACCCAGTGCCATCCTCAGACAGCTCTGCGGTGACTTCTCTCTGCTTCCCACCCTGGCCAAAGTCCCACCTCCAAGTTCCAGACCCATCTGAAGCATATCCATTCACAAGTCCTTCTTGAACTTGTGGAGCTATAGCATTGCAATTTTATTTTGCAAAATAAAATTCTTTCAAATTCCCTTTTTTTTCCATTTCTTTATTTGTTCATTCATTCATTTGCAACTTCCTTGGTAATTCAATACTTAAATGTAAGCGAGGTGTCATTAAGTGCACAAAAAGGAAAGGCCTTTGCCTGCCTAGGGCACTTAATAAGGTTTATCATCTGCCACACTGTTTCTGTTACAGACACTAAACTCCACCACTTGGACCCCACCAGCCAAAGAGTTACAGATGAGTACTGTATGTCTCTTTCAATCAAGTTTATATAAAAAATTCAACATAGGACAGTACCAGTCCATGGGCCATAGTTTGCCCATTTCTGTCTTAAATCCAATGGCAACTTTCTTTCCTAAACTGACAGCATATGACAAATAAAAATTTGAGAAGAAAAGTTAATTTCAAAATAACCAAACACAGTTAGGACATAATTCACCTTTAAGCATGGTTTTCCTAGCCTGACACACAGGCCATCACTTATTGTGCTGTAATAGCTCACAAATTCATTTAAAGTTGAAAATGTCTTTCTCGGAGTAATAAAAAAGTTCCCTCCATCCAGTCTTCCGATTCTGTAGTGTTTCACAACTTTTCCATCTAAAACTGAAACACAGATAAGTCCTGTTAATAAATTTATCGCCAAAACTTAGCAGATTTATGGGCTTTATGGTGATTTTTCATTGCATGAATTAAAATTTTCACAAAATTTTATATATCTCTCAACTTTTGCTCAGAAAATGCTGAAGGAGATTTACAAACAGTACGTAGTACAAAAAAGAATAAAGAACAAAGAACTGGGAGACTGGAAGGTTGTACTGAAGGAAATACAAGCTGACGAGAAGGTTAGCAATTACCTTGGAAACCTAGTAGCCTTTATTCAAGCAAGCAATCAAATTGCTTCTGTCACTTTAGCAATGCAATGAAGGAACCCTTATCCATTTCAGAAGTCACAGTGTCCATAAATTGAAACCCCAATCATATTTAAAAGCAGTGAGACTCTTCCTAGTGTTTTTTACCCCGTGCATCTGATAACACAGAGACTGAAACAGAGCGGGGCCCTGACGACTATCTTCCAGTAGCAGCCGACATTCCTCAGGGCTGTTCATTACATTGCCTTTCAATGCAGCATGATCAGAAAACACCCTACCACAGATTGCTACAAGCAATTCTAGGGGCCCACGAAGGATGCAGCTCTCCTGTGCAACTGTCCTGCCAGATTGCTTCACACAATCTAGCAGCATCTGTAGGAATAAATATTCTGCATCACTTCTAAGTAGTCTGATTTATAGGAGGTACTTTGTTACCTCTGCCTGCCACCAACTATCTCTTCTGTGAATAGCACTCCACTTTCCTTCAGAGGGTCACAGGGCAAACGATGTGATATAAAGGGACCTGGTGTTGACAAAAGCACAAACAGGGCCATGATAGCGAAGAAGCACTCAGGGAGCCCCAGAAGGACAGGAAAAGTTGTGCTGGCCCTGCTGTTTTGTGTTTTATTTTTGTTTTCATTCTTACTGCTTTAGGTTTGGAGCTGTTGGGTAAAAATTTTCCCGCAGGTGGTAGAAAGCTCACCTGAGAAGACTGGCAACCTAGGAAAAGAGATCTTGATTGAAAAAATACAGCTGAATCCCTGGAACCAGGCAAGCCTGGTTTTCCAACTACAAGACCTGATTACTATTTTTCCTTCAATTAAGTTGAATTGGGTTTTTTGCCTTTGTATCTAAACTATTGATTAATACAATTTATATTTTTCCTTCACTTAGCAAAGTTATCAATAAGTATTAAACAGCATTTACTGAAAATATAGTGTTTTAGTCACTTTCCTGTGGCTGAAAAACAATAAATTACATCCAAGTTTAAAGGAATAGAGGTTATCCCAGCTACTGTTTCTGACGTCTGAGTCCATGGAACACATAGAAGAGGCATGGAGGAAGGGTCCACCATGGGGAAAAGCAGCTCACACCATCTTCTGTGGCCAGGAAGCAGAGAGAGAAGCGACGAGTCAGGGAAGCAGACACAGTCCCAGTGAGCCACCTCTTCTGACCAAGCTCCACAACTAACAACACATTTAGCTATGGGTTTATCTGTGAATAAATCCACATGACACTTTCTAGAGACATTGTAGATTTAAGCCATATAGCTATTCTGAGTTCCTTCTAAATATGAAACTTTATACTTCAATAACCAATCAAGTCAGAGAAATGGACTCATTTTTAAAAAAAAAGTCAGGCTGGGCAAAAGAGATCCAGCCCCAGCAGGGACATACACTGAGGGCATGCCAATGGCTTGGACAAAACCATCCAAAACACCATCGGTACATACCCTATTAGCAACAATGAGGGAAAGTGGTAATATCAAGTATTGTCAGAATAACTTCTCTTACACAGTCTGTCACAGTCCAATCAGGGGCACGTAAAGAGTGAAAGAGATTCCTTAGGGGGCGGGACTTCAGTTCAGTCACTGGGCGGACCCAAAGCAGCTGCTGTTTTAGCGTGAAAGAGCTTCCATCAGCGAGTTGAGACCTCCGCAGTTATTTATTTCTATCTCAAAGACGTGAGGCCAGACACAGAGGGAAAGCGTTTGTAACATATCATGTAGGAGCTTTGCCCAGTGGACAGAGGGCTGGAATGGGATGGGTTATTGGGTGACACATGTCAGCTTGGGGTAAGCAACCTCAGTGGAGCAGAGGGGACACAATGGCCAGAGCAGGCCTTTCTGGGAACAACCTCTTCTGATTCTGTTGACTAATGTCCTGCAGCTCGAGACTCTAGCCATGCGTCCCAGGAGTCCTGAACTGCCCTCCAGAAAGTCTCTTCTTTTTCACATCCACTTCAATCACTCGTTTGACCAGAGGTGCCCCCACAAAGGCTGTTGAAAGTGTAATTTTTACAATGAGTTGTTAAAGTGGTTACTATCTTCTAAAGTTGAACACAGTGATACCTAATATGGAATAAAATATACTATAGTACTATACTGTAGGTACACTATACTATATATACTATACTAAATCTAATACAGTATAATATATAGTATAGTATTATATTGTAGCTAAAATATGCTATGCACTATGGTATAACCTGATCAACAACAATAATAAAACAATATGTGGACAAGTACAACTAATAATTTAATTGCATATCTTTCATTTTCTTCCCAAAACTCTTTAAATTTGTATTTAGAGAGGATTACAAGTTTTTCTGCTCACTTTTAGGTATTAAACAGTTCTACTTATAACCTACTTATAAGCACAAAAACAAGCTCAATTCAGATTTAGCATGCCCAGTTCCAACATATTAACCAAAGTTAATATTAATCCTTGATTAAATGTCCTTTCTTCCCCTTCCAAACTTCAAGTCTGCTGCAGGCTGAAAGGCGGTTTCAGCTCAGCACTTTGAACAGTGCTTTGAGTGGCTTCTTCCCTCTGTTTCTCTGCCCAGAGCTGTCCCCTGCCCTTCCCCTTTGCCTGCTTAGTTCTAAGTATCCAGGTGAGGAACTCATCCATTCTTTGGCAGCTCATCTTCTGGCAGAAACCTATGTGGCAGAACCCAAAAGTCCTCCAAGCCATCTATCTGTGGTGCCCTGGTGCATTTACTCATGTAGGAAGCCAGCATACCTTCTTGAGGCTTAGGAACTGAGACAGAGCTGGCCTTGATCATTGTTACTGGGAGGGGAAGCTGGTGGCCAGAACTTCTCTCTGTTCCGCTGCTACAGCTTACACCAGCCTTCTTGGCTGCTTGAGCTCCTGCGTTCTGCCCTCCCAGATGCAGAGAGCAGCCTCAAGGAGCCTTCCTGAATCTCATTCTCACCAGGCTTGGGAGTCCCATTCATCACCTTGGGAAGAAAGGGAGACTCATACAATATCCAAAGCTGTCTCCAAAAACAAACTGCCCTCACTAAATCCTCCCTCTCTTCTGTTCTTATTCCCCTATAAAATCATTAACACACCAAGAGCAGCACTACCTCTCAGACTAAGTCTTTATAAACTCTGGGTGTGGATATTTGTCTTTAGAATTTTGTTTCTAGTTTTATTTGATAGTTTCAGTCAAAAATTCTCTCTGAGCATTCTGTTATAATTATAGTAATAGAAATGCACACTGTGCTAAATACCACTTTACATTATCTTGGTGTATCTTCTTAGTCCTATAAGGTAAACATTATTGGACCCATTTTGTTTCTCGTAAAAGTTGGGTATGGCATAGCCAAGATTCAAACTCAAGGCCTTGTGACTGCAACGCTCTGTAACCAGAAGTGGCTTTGATTCTACAGCACCAGGGATTGAACTCATAACCTTCACACTGAGCTACATCCCCAGCTCTTTACTTTGATAAATTGCTAAGTTACCCTATGCTGGTCTTGATCTTGCGATTCACCTGCCTCAGTTTCCTGAGAATCTAAGACTACAGGTACGAGCCAGCAACTCCAGAAACCAGTGGGTTTCAAACAATAGTGCACGTCCAGTTCTGGACAATACAATTATATCAAGTGTATTTAAGAAAATGTTTTACTTTCAGTTCTTTTGTAAATAAAGAGGGCAAGAGTAAATTAACTCCCACAAAAAGAATACCAGTTTCTTAATTACAGTTTTTTTGTGTCTGGAACATATTCTTCTATACTGGTCTGTCAGGTTTACCAGCCCCACTATTATGCTTAGGGTAAGCTTAATTGCCCTGTATAACCATCACCAAACTGAAAGCTTTCATTAGATACTGCAGAACTTAGCTCATAATATATTTCTTTATATAGATTAAAAAGGTAAACAAAATTAAACAGAGCTATAAATAGTACATCAGTCCCACTCCTCCACAATGTAATAAAAAATACTAAAAGTTGCAAAATATAGAGTATACCTCAATTTATATAAATTAATGCCCTAAAAAGCCAAGCCTTGCCACTTATCAAAAAGAAAAAAACATAAATCATAACTGAGCTAACCAGCAAGTCATAGGTCTATAATCAGAAAAAGGAAAGGTATTTTAAAAATTGCCCTTTTAAAGCAAGGTGTGGCCTTTGACAAGGTGGCAGCAAGTGAAGTGGATTTTTTGTAAACTAAACATGTTTACGGATTACTTTTTAATATTTCACAAAAGACCTAACAGAATCCAAGCTAGTGTTAAAGTCAATCGATGGCTGGATTAAAGCATGTCTTGTCATTTTCTTAATAAGGGCTGCACACTGCAGTGATTGATGTGGCTCTGGCAATTTACACTGATTGAGAAAAACAAACATTGACCAGATGCTTGTAAAGTCAGGTGTAAACTCCCAAGTGTAAAATCCAACGGCTGGCAATGTATCCAGTTTTTAGACACAAAGAGAAATAGGCTTTACTTAATAAGAAAAATAGACTGAGAGATGCGAGACCTACAGTACAGATTTTTAGTATACAACCAGAACACATCGGTCCTACTGGGTCTTGAGTTTCATTTTTTGTACAGTCCTGAGCATTGAACCCAGGACCTCATACAGGCAAGGTCAGCGCTCTACCACTGAGTCTTTTCTTTTTCTCTCTTTGTATTTTGAGACAGGGACTCATTAAATTGCCAAGGTAGCCTGCATCCTGCAATTCCCCTGAGATGCAGTTTTCTGGGATTCAAAATAGAAAGAGA